AACGATTATTCGGAGATCGTGAGATGCGGTCTGGTGTGACGTAGGGTTTAGAAAAACATTTTCTTTATCGTGCCAACGTTTCGATCTTTATTGAGATCATCTTCAGGGCTCAAAGTGTTTGTTTTCCGTGTAGATGTGTCATTCTTGTCTATCGTGTTGAGACTGCCAGTGGGCTGATCTCAATATAGATCAAAACGTTGGCACGATAAATAAAATGTTTTTCTAAACCTACATCACACCAGAACGCATCTCACGATCTCCGAATAATAATATTCAAAATGTGACTACTCAATCTCACCTTTTGTAGCTTAGTCCACAATAAACCATGTCTTACTCTATCAAATGCTCTACCGAGATCTACCAAAATTACGTGTAAATTTCATTTCTCGATTGTACATGCTGTAATTAGGCTATTTAGAACGAATAGATTGTGAGAGGATGATTTTCCTTCCTGAGAGTCACCTGCTCGTCGGGAATTACTTTGTTAGAATTCGACCATTCAGCTATCTTTCTCTTTAATATAGGCGTGAACAGTTTCGTACATTTAGACGAGCTATAATTAATCTTTCCGATTTTATGTATCATATTAAATTTCCTGAGACCACTGCTTTAAGAACTTTTCGTGATTGAATATCTTTTTGAAAATATTCAGAAAATATTACTCCCAATCTGGGGTGAAGGATTTGCAAAATGCTTTGGTAATACCATCATCTGGAGATTTGCCATTTTTGCAATGAAATGTGGCCTGTGGAAGATCAATCAAGTCAATGTTCCGATCTAGAATGTAAGGCACTATTTTCCCTGTAGAAATATCGGGGTAGTCAATGGTAAGGTAATTTCTATCGAAATGTCCATTTTTCTTCTGAGATGTTACTGCTTTTATTCGGTTGTTAAACCAGTATTTTCACCTGAGCTAAGTGAATCTGAATATAACTATAGAATGGAATTTTTGACAATGGAGATTTTCTTTTCATGTTTGTAGGGTGGTCAGCTCGTCGTGTAACAAAAATAAATAAATAAAAATTTTAAAAAAATCGGTGACAGCACATCCAAAAGTGAAGTAGAATGCCATAAACATCATGAGTTATCTCAATCCGTTCAAAAAGTCACGATTTTTTAGTGTTTATTTAAGCAAAACATATTTCTCAATTTACTCCTCTCAAAAGTAACTTTTCCCAACGACTGACCCTATTTTTATATTTAGCAACGAATTTCCTTTTAGATTAGTTAACTTTTGTTTAAAAAATTATTGAAGAGTAGAGATACAAAAATAAATAAACAAAAGTCAAAAAAATCGGTGACAGCTCATCTAAATGTGAAGTAGAATGCCATAAACATCATGAGTTATCTCAATCCGTTCAAAAAGTCACGATTTTTTAGTGTTTATTTAAGCAAAACATATTTCTGAATTTACTCCTCTCAAAAGTAACTTTTCCCAACGACTGACCCTATTTTTAGATTTAGCAACGAATTTCCTTTTAGATTAGTTAACTTTTGTTTAAAAAATTATTGAAGAGTAGAGATCAGTATTATGGTCAAGGAACCAACCCAAAAATTGGTAATTGTTAGTTTTTATAAAGTAACTGTTAGTTGATCGTTGTTAATTTGTTGGAAAATATAGGCCCTGATGATGACCTTGAAGCCCGGGTCGAAAGCTTGGCATAGTTGGAATTTTGTTGTTTCAAAAATTGCCAGTTTCTTACAAAATAACTGCACAAACATTACGAAATTTGCGAAATGGTAATTTTGGATCAACTTCTTTAAATCGGAGCTCCTTTACATTACATTTCTTAAATGTCAAACCAGCTAAAAACTTCAACATTTTATGAGCTTTAATACGGTCTATTCGAAACCTCGGCTATTTTTATTTTTTGATAGGCAATTTCAGTAGGAAGTTGGGAAAGCGTGGTCCGGAACGTATACTGGGAACTAAATGCATGGCCCAAGAATTGATCGGGTTTTTAGTTTGAAAAACAATTGTTCTTTACAAATAAATTATTTCGAATTTATTAGCTAATTTTTTTTTTTAAATAATTTGTAGTACATTACAACTACCTTAAAGTAGGTAACAAGTAACAGTAAGCAAGGTAATTAAAACAAGACAAAATTTAAAAAATCAAGAGTGGAGAAAACACCCATTAGTATTACTCCAATGTTACAATAATATTGTTTGTTCAATTTATACGTGTGTCATTATCACTTTCACTGTCATCACCATCACTTCCTAGGAGATCTCGCGGCCATTGTCTCTTCAGTCGGCGGGGAGGGTTTGAGGGGATTCGTCGGGATGCGAGGTTTCTGATGTGTTGGTTTACGTTAGTTGGGAGGTTTTTATGAAATTTACGGTAACGGAATCGTATTTCATCTTGTACGAAAGGAATATGTAAATCTGTATGTGTAGTTCTAGTATTTTTCGTAGTATTATAGACTGGGCAGTTTGAATGCGGTGGATATTGGAATGTTTGGCTGAACCCCACACTTCCAGTCCGTAAGTCCAAATCGGCTTAACTATGGTGTTGTAAAGCAGCCTTTTATTTTTGAGAGGTAAATTAGAGCGTTTGTCAAGAAGTCGTGCAAGAACTCTAAATCGTGTCATAACCTCCTGACGTTTCAGTCTTGTAATTATTAATTTAAATGCCCGATCAACCCTTGTGCAAATCTTAACTTTTGAACGGATTGAGATAAATCCATGAGGTTTACGGCATTCTACTCCACTTTTAGATGTACTGCACCGAATCTTTTTAACAAACGAGCTAACTCTATATTAAATACGCTTCAAAAGTGTAATTCGATTTTTTTAACTGCTTACATTGTTTATTAAGTTCTCTCTTCGATAGCCGACAGTTTCGGTAAAACTGGGAAGTTGATCTTCAATTTATCACAAAGTAAATTAACTTTCCGGATGGGAAGATTTGAATTATGTTAACATTCCCGATTTTTCAGAGCATTCCTTTATCGCTAAGGCGGAATTGTTCTATCAATCGCGCTATTATTGAAATATGTTCTTCTTGAACTGGAGAGGTTGAATCAATTACATCACACCTCTCCATCACTTTTTCCAGAAACGGGTGTAATTAATGTCATTTAAGTACGTTTGTTTAAAACAATTTCGTAACCGGCCCACGGGGCTTCGTGTAGGCGAGAGGAGGAACCGTCGCTTAGCATTAAAGAAAACCCGGGTCCTTGGCCCTGTTACATGGCCATGAAACCGTTCAGTGTACATTAGTTTCACCAGTGGAAAACTGCAATTGTAGTAAAAACTCATTAGCCCATTTCTGAGTCGATTAAGCCGTGCCTAGCCCCAAATCCCAAACACGCAAACTGTGAATTTCATAACGCCGTTTTTGCCTCATGCAACATTGCTCTGTCGTTCTCAAAATTCTGTCATGTTCAATTTAGGAATTCCAAGAGAAAACAATAGTAATTGCACCTTTTTATCGTCTGTTCTTCAAAGAGAAATGCTAAATTATGAAACAATTTAAAAGTGCAAGTAACATTTTCATCCTCATCTGCACGTTATTGCAGTTTCAGACTTCTTGCAATATGTTGTCGAAAATAACTTAATTTCACAAGCCGTGTACAGTTTCTGTAAATTAATATACAGTACGGGAGACCAACATGTCTCCTGTACAAATTAAAACATGTCCTTGCAAATACTTTGTACATAATCCTTCGTTCCTACCAAACAGAACAATTCTCCCATCTCCCCTGGAGACCGTTTGCCCATCAGCACTGCAAGGAACTTAGTTCTGTTGTGCTTTGTCAATTTTCTAGAAAATATTTTTATGGTTCATCACACAACAGACTGTCCTCGCTGTTTTCTGGTAGATCAAAATGAACGAAGACGACCAGCAGGAAGGATACTGCCAACTTTTGTTCGCATTTTCTAGCAAAAAGGAAACTTGCTTGTTCAAAATAATGTTGTCAATTATGTTATCCTTTGTATACTACTAAATAATAAAATATTATTAAATGAACGCTATACAATGTGATACAAACATTAGTCTAAAACAATTTTTAAAAACCCCATAATGTACAATTCTAAGATATTTTGTTGAGACTTGCGAGAAGACAAACCAATAGTTAATATATTAAATAATGAATTTTCTTGAAAACATTTTTTATATACAAGAAAATCCATATAAATGGGGACATTTTTTAGTTAATGGTTCGGACTAATGACTTTAACAAGAAATGCGATAGCTCAAATTGATGTTCAATTGATATCATTTGAAATATCACTGTATTTTAAGGACGACGGACTTCATACGAACAATTTTGGTATTCAAATGTATTTGGTAATCAATGCTACCTTGCTCAAATTATGAGCTATTTTTAACAGTCCTCTTCAGATGAGCACACCTAAATAAACTTTTAAAAACAGAAAGGAATTGGAAATTTAAAAAAAAAATCAATAGTTTAAATTTTAAATAACATTTTTTATTAATTTTTGAAGACTAATTAATACTTTTTGTTTTGAATGAGTTAACTTTGCTTAAAAGTAAAACAATACAATTTTTAAATAAAAAACCATATTTATACAATTTTGCAAAAAAAAAAAATATTTAAAAATATAAACACAAATATAATAAAGTACATTATATATTACAAAAACATTAAGATTTACAATGTACAAATTTGAGCGTTAAGACATTTTTTTTTGCAGTAAGTAAGGCATAAAAGTTACAAAGCAATAAATATACAATTTGTTCAATTCCAACAGAATATAACATGTTTTAGCACATAAAAAAAAAGAAACTGTTTTATTATTTCAGTTTTTTCTACTTCAAATTACGAGTATAAAACCAAAATTTTTGAAATCGATAATAAATTTTGAAATAGTGGAAGAAAACAATTCTTCCATGTTTTAACATATTATAATATCCAAATTTACAATAATAAACATTTGTTTATATAACAACTTTTAAATACTTTTATAATATATTCTTTTTACTACAAGTATAAACTCGGTTTTTTATAAAAAGCTTCAGAATACTGCATTTTTTTTTTAGTTGAATGGAATTTCATTTATTACAGATCACGGGACAACATTCGACTTTTTAACGGATATAAAATTAAAGGACGTCATAAATTATTAGATCACCGGCAGATTCTAAGAACTGGTGGAATACCAGTTTTTAACAGTGAGTCAAGGCGAACCCATTCAGAATTATCAGTCGAACTGACAACAAATCTACCCGAGACAAAACGAGTTTGTAGGCCATTCAGCTCGAAACCAAACAGTGTCAGTCGTAGTTCAGACATTCCTTTGAAATTATTTAAGGCCGGCTCTTAGGCCTGATAAAAACGTCTTTTATACATGTATAATTGAACAATTAAATATCACAATTCATTCAACACGACAATTATGAGATATCAAACTAGTCGAAATTAATTTCCTGTCTTTCGATTAAACGAAGGAAAAACATCAAATAAAATTCCACTCAACAATTATAACCACAGCCTAAAATGATATTGAATTTCTTATTCAACTGATACATTTATATTCTCGTCCTAAAACATCAATCAGTAGGAATATCTGTTTCAAACGCTAAAGTGATCAATCTGGTTCACACGAAAACATTTTTTTAAGCTCAAGTTTATTTTATATGTAGAAAGATGCTAAACACAAACACTGTTAATTCAATTTTATTGGCGTTTTTGTTTTAAACCTCTTCAGAGTTCAGAATAAGAATCTTATAAGTTTCACCGAATTTCTTTAATACTTGCGAGTACGAGGTCAAGTTGCAATTTATACCATTAGAAACGATCCTCATTTATTTTATCGAAAAAGTATTAGCTATCAAGCATTTAATTAAACCGTAGTTAAAATTAAAAAATAGATATATAACAATAATAAAGGTTAATATTTCAAAAGGCCGAATCACTAAATTTAATGATTTCTTACCAATTTATCAATATGTCAACCAAATCAATCACTCCTCTATTCAACCTTACAAATTCCACTTTTTGCTCAGAATTTAAAAAACCTGGCAAAAAAGTTTGTAAAATTCTCTTTCTTTAATATTTCAGGTACATCTGTATTTGTTTATAATTAGGTAATAATAAATTGTAATAACGCTAATATTTACACTATGTTATAATTACATTATATTATATATAATTTCTGTATATAAATTAACTAACTTTTAATATTTCCAACCTCTTTCTAATGAACCTTTACGGTCCAATGGGTACATTTCATTTTAAAAATTTGTAGGAAATTAAAATTTCCTCTACAATTTCTCTATAAATTTTTACCAAAATTTATTCTAGAGAATTTCCTTCGACCCACTAGCATAGTTTTTGTTGTATATTTTTACTCTTTTATTAATAATACGAATGTTGATTTTTATGGCATTTCATCAACAAGGCGAGATCGGATCTCTTGCTGAACACATTTTTCATTCAAGGGCATAGTTCAAATACGCAGTATAAATAACTACAAACGCATCGAAATACAATGTTTATCTGATGACAGATTGCTCTTTTAAGAAACGACCACGAGAATTATTACGTATCAAAAGCTTAAGAAAGGTGTTGATATCAGTAATAAAAATGAAAAACTGAACTGTAAAATTTAATTTATAGATATTGCGGATAAAATGGGAAAAGCAGTCAGTAAATACGGGAACTTAATGATATTTGAACAATAAGACTTCTCCTATATTAAATATTTGATGTCTTTTAATAGTCAGAATAGAAAGTTGAAGATCTTAAAATAAGAAATGTCAAAGGTGATTAATTTCATAAACAGCTGTCGTCTAGGAAGTAATCCTAAGGAAGAAGTACCGAGTTGTGGACGTAATTTTGGCATTAACCGAATTGCATTGAATTTCGATGCTTTGGTATTCAGACGTGTGTTGTGAGTTGGCTGAGAGTAAATATCTCGAATGACTGTCCAGACGCATTGCCGATTGAAGAATGTGGACGGGTGAAAGGGTATTCCATTCAGGTTTAGAGAGGTGGACTGAGTGAAATGCCAAAAATGTCAACACCGTGACAGTCGACTACTACTCTTTTTTTGGTAACTTGGTCATTAATCCTTAATTGCAAAGCCAGTTAAACAATTAATTAAACTCAAATATTGATTTAGTATATTAAACGCTAAAATCGTTAAACATTTTAAGTACTTATTCGTTGTCGAATCGACGTACCTTGACCCTCTGTTTGTAGTGGTACTCTTTGAGATATGCTTTGAGCGGTTTGGGAAGGCGGAGCTGGCTGATTCCGTCGTAGGAGATCTTCGACGAGATGACGGCCCTGGCCAGGTGCTGGAGGGGAAAGGCGAAGTTCCTGTGGAGCGGTATCGTGAGCGTCGGCTCGAAGTACATGCAGCACGAAGGGTCCTTGTAGTGCTCGATGAGTCCGCAGACGGTCGGCGAGGAGTAGACCCCGGGGTCGTGGGAGTCGAAGCTGAACAGATGCTTCCACTGCTCTATCCTGGCGTGGAGCGACCTGCCGTACTTTCTGAAACTGACGGAAAAGAGGTATTCCTCCTGCGCCGAGTCCCGGAGGAGGAAAGTCCCTTCGGGCTTGCCGTCGAGCAGTCGCTCCGCCTCGTACCGGTTCATCTTCCCCCAGTAGAAAGAGCAGGAAGTGATCTGGAGGAGGTCCGGGACGAGGCAGTGGATGTAGTCCACTTGGGTGTGGACCACCCTCTGTGAGTCGAGCTGGGAGAGGGCGGAAAGGGCAGCGGATTGGAGGAGGGCCGTCAAGGAGTCGATGTTCATGTCCTGGACGCAGACCACCTGAATGTGCTGGCCCGGTTTGAAGCCAGGAGGAGGATCCACGCCTTCCTCGATCTCCCTGGCTCTTTCGATCCTGGCCCTCTCGTCGCAGTCGTCGAGCGAATAGTCCTCCAGCCGACGGTCCTCGTCCTCTTCCGAATCGCTGCTCTCCCGTTTGGCCTCAAAAACGACCCCCGCACCGAGGTGGTGCTCCTCCGTCCGCCGGTACCCGGTGCAGACGCACGATTCCAGGCCGATGTTGGGCTCCGCGATGTCGGGCTCGGAGCTGCAGCCGGAGCTGTTGCTGCCTGACTTCAGCCTGGCGCAGTTAAACCTCAGCACCCAATGCGGCCTTTTCTTATCCTTCTTTCTCTTGGAGGACCTCTTCTTCTTCTCCGGGAGAGCAGACGCCCCCGCCCGCGGGTTTCCGTTGTCCTCCGAACTCAAGTAAATACCGAACTCGTTACCGTTCTCTTCCTTGCGCTCGTCGAGACGTAGGTCCACGCTCTCCACCGAAATCCGGATCTCGTTCACGTCCTTCTCGTCCATTATTCCGAAAACGCCCTTCAGGTCGCTGATCTTCTGGCCCATTATCTCTTCGCGGGGCGACGACGCCCAGTACTCGCGACTGGACACCAAACGGACCAACAACAGCACATCATAACAAATCCAAAACGTCCATCTGACTTCTCACATTCGCACCCGACACAAATATCCTTCACTCCCGACTTTCACTATTTCGATCGGAATCTGTCTCGGTACGTACGACAAAGTTGACATTGACCGATCGGTCGGTTGACGCAGTCTGCGACGGGAAATCTCAACGGGGAAAATAATGGCCGTAATCTTGAATCAACAAGAGACGGAACGGCCAGCTCTTTTCTTCTCACTGACACACTCACTTGACACCATTTTAGAAAACTACCACGGCTTCTTCTATCCCGACGACTAAATCGCTCCCCACTTTCCGCTCGGCCTCCGAGTCCTGCCGTCCAGCGGCGCTCCAATGGAAGTCTAAAGGGGATTCGACAATTACACATCGAAAAGAATTATCCCAAATTTTCCATTTTTCTAGACAAACATATTGTATAAAAACATATTATTATGAAAACAGTAACTAAAAGCTTCGAATTGGAATCCTTTATCGTTTAAAAGTTTACAATTTGTCGAGAAAAAAATTTTCTATTGGAATGGGATAACGTCTTACTGCTTTACTGGCGCCGCTAGTAGCGCTGACAACAATCTTCCTGAGTTATAATAATTTTATTGTTTCTTAAATATAATTAACAATTGCAGATTAAACCTAAGGATAGGAAATAAACGGCTTACGATCCTAATGTTGACCCCAAAACAAAAAACTACTTGTATAAATAAACATTTGTTATCAACAAGGAGGTTTCAACGTTTGAAGCCATAATGAATACCCCCAAACTGGGGTGATAATATAATAATACAAATGAAACAATTAATAATGTAAATAGGCGATGGCCAAAATTAAATCTTACGTGTTCAAGATAGCGTCGTCGATAATTCTTCTTTTTCTACTCTGCGAATTTATAATTTACTACGTTGTTTTGCTTCAGGTGAGCTCCGGTATCAACAAGTGATTATTGACGTTTATCAGCGTTTTTCACCTTTTCAGTGTCGATGGCCCGATTTGGACGAAAAACGAGCGGACGATTCGATCAGAAACGACGGAAAGGAGCTGAAAGCGCTTCTGCTGGCTGACACGCATTTGTTAGGGCCGAGGAGAGGACACTGGCTCGACAAGTTGAGGAGGTGAGCCTAAAGGACTTAACATTAATTAACGACACCATCAAGTTAACACACAACGGTTATACCCTTGGTCACATACGGGAGCTCTAGCCAGAAACACTAAATAAGGAGACACAGACCAAAATACTAAGTACTCAAGGTGTCTCAGTATTACAGGGCAAATCATACCAGCCCCACTATGGCAATGAAAACAGCACTTTCACCTTTACATATTTATGTACAAAAGGCTTTTGACAGTGTCGACAGACTCATGAGATGTAAGGAAATAAAACCAGATCCCAGGAGGAGCCACCTTTTTGAGTAGAACCCTCATTTACAAAAAAGTAAAGCTAAATGTCTATGTTTTCAACTCCATACTTGTCTGGGAATGCCTAAACTGCACAATGACAGGCTGACCAACTAGCCAAAAAACGGCAACCCTTTCACTGGAGTCTGTGCTTAAGTTGGAACTAGAGGAAAATGGATTGAGAAAGAAAAAAACTGCTAAGAGATTTATAAATCTATTTATAAAGAGGAAGAAACACCTCTATCTCTCTCTCTCTCAGCAGACACAGTTTGAGGTGAATTATAGGCTTCTATACCAGCCACTACCCTCTTAATTCTCATGTTAAGAAGATGGGCAAAGCTGAGGTAGAAATATGCCGGCAATTTCAGGAAGAACCAGAGACATTGGTACATGTTCTTTGTGAATGTAATGCATTTGCCCATTGACAGCACAGCCACTTCAGTAGGGCATTTCTCGTTAATACCACAGCATCTTTTATTTAATATTGTAATAAAGGTGATGAACGTTAAAATCCAAGTAGAAAATGACATTTTGAAGGTGTTGTAACATTGATGCGAAACATATTCTGCACCCTCAGAACAAACAGCCAAATCAGATAAGTGCTTATTCCTTTAGGCCTGATAGACTGTATATAATTGATTAAGTTGAGAAGAAAATGGTTTCTATTTAGACACAAAAAATAAATTTAAAAACCTAGGATGGCACAATAAAAAAATTACTACAATTGAATTTGTACCAAAGGTCTAAACTTTAAAATCACAATCCTGAAAAGTTGTGTTTTTAGACTTATCCAATTTTGCCTCGAGGGTGCAGATTTAATCCATCCTTGTTGATTTCCTCTGGAATGAAAGCATTTATGTATTTTCAGGGAATGGCAAATGTATAGAACATTTCAAACTGCAATGACCATACACAGGCCTGATGTAGTATTTATTTTAGGTATGTATATTGAAATAGACGTATTGCTTTTTAAAATGTCATTGTCAAAACTTCATATGCAAATGTTTTATTGTAGTTCAGTAAGCCAATATATTGTTTTAGAAGTTTTTGGCTCGACAAAAGAGGAATGGACTGGAATAGTTTTCATTATGCTTTATAATAATTATAACAATAATATTTTTTTATGTTATATATTTAAAAAAATAAATCAGGGATAAGGTGAATTTGAAAGAAAGAAAAACACTCTAATAATTAACTTCCTTTCCATAATTTGATGGCCCTGAATCACAAATTCTATCCAGAAAATCCACATTCTCAACTTCCTTTGAGTTCAATAAATTTGCCTTTGATCATAGAAAATTTCCCAAAATTACGTCCCCCACTCTGTCACAATCGTATAAAATCAGCAGAATAAAAATTCGCTTTTTACAACAATTTCACACAACACCAATATGACACCACAGGAATAGGACCACACTTTATCTGAGTATGAAATTCTTGGTATCAAAGTTTATATGTAAGTACATCTGTATTGTATTTTTCCAATTAACATATGTTTTAAAACAAATTTAAAAAAAATTCACTCAGTCCCTGAAGATGAACCAAATAAAGGTTGAAACGTGTAATAAAAAAGGTGTTTTTCTAAGCTACCTCATTCTTGGCGGCTCCTCATAAATTCAACAATTATAATTTTTAATGTTGTAAGATGTTTATATTTGTTAACAAGGTAAACATTAGAATGAATACATAGTTTCAAATTCTGGCAAAGGGGATATATGCTTCAAAAGCATTTTTTCTTTCTTTCAAATTTGCCTTATCCAGGTTTTTTTTACTAAACTTTTTAAACTAAGGCTGATATCAATCAAATTATGATAATTCATCAAAGTATTTTGCAAAAGATTTTAACTCTGTTTACTTTCTTCAATTCCTTCATTACTTTATTTATATTATTTTGTACGTATGTATTACATATTATAGATTATTTAGCTTGAATTTTTTACTTGATATTTATTCCTTTCTGTTTCTTCAATCCGGGTTTAGTTTTTTTTTAATTTTTTTTTTTTTTTTTTTTTTTTATTCTTCAACCTTAAAGCTTAAATTAGGATCTGACAGTTTTGATCACCAATCCTTTCTGTTGATTAGGAGATATTTTTGATGAAGGCTTGTGGTGCAGTGATGCCGAATTCAAAACTTATGTAGAGAGGTTCAAGTCATTGTTTTACGTTCCAACAGGGACCAAGCTATACGTTGTAGTAGGAAATCACGATATCGGATTTCATTATGGGTAATGGTATTTATCATATATAGCACATTAACGCTTAATAATTATTTGTTCTTACTAACAGGATTAGCCCTTATCTGCATAAACGATTCACAGATGCATTCAATGCCCCTTCAGTACGAATGCTGACAATAGAGGGAAACCATTTTGTCTTGATCAACAGCATGGCTATGGAGGGTGACAGGTGTTTTCTATGTAGGCCGGCTGAAATTCAAATAGGAAATATTGCCAGTATGCAATTTTATACTTAAAAAAAAAAATCATAATTAAGTTTTACTTATTCTGACGTTGTGATTGAACAGAAAAGTTAAAGTGTGCCAGAGGTTCAGGCCCTTGCCCAAAATCAGTTGACATTAAGCAGTACAGCAGACCTATTTTACTTCAGGTAAAAACATAACTTTTTTAATTTTATGTATGTGTGTGTTTGTTTCAATGTATTAATTTTTTTAGCACTTCCCACTTTATAGAGAATCTGATGAGGGGTGCAACGAAATTGATGAAGCACCTGAGGATGAAAAAAGGCAGAAATTTAGAGAAAGATGGGAATGCCTTTCTAAAGAGTCATCTTACATGGTAAAAACACACCAGTTGACAATAATAATTAAACATTAATAAATCTATTGTTGTAGCTTTTAGAAACATTAAATCCCCGCTTAGTCATAACAGGGCACACCCATCACGGCTGCAGAAGGTACCATGATGGGTATGACACTCATGAGTTTACAATTCCTTCCTTTAGCTGGAGAAATAAAGACAACCCTTCTTTTATGTTGGTAAGTTGTAATGTGTTTTCGACATATTGTGGCATACTTTTACATTTTGATCAAAATTTTAGGTATCTGCCTTTTCACTACAATCATTTTTTAATATAATTTGGTTAGTGTTAATTAAAAAAGACCACTTTGGGAGAAAAAAAAAAGAATAAAACAAGCTCTTTTATACATAAATCTAAAATATTTCATTGTGATATTAAAAAATGTATGGTAGGGATTAAGGCCACTTGCTTTCCTACACATTTTTTTTCCCCATACTCCTGAATAATTTACTAATAAAGTCATGCAGAATTAAATTTCAAATTTCTACCCAAGTTCTAGGCACTTGACAGGCTCAATAACGCTCTGTGGTAACAGCTGTTAACTATGCTGGCCCTCTGGGGTGTAAACTCATTTCCACCAACTCCTTTTTACAGTCTCAGTACTAACTTTACTCCTGCTGAACTGCGCTAACCTTTACCTGCCCTGTTCGAAGTCTCTGAAGTAGGAGTTTCTAAAAATATGCAACTGAATAAATTTGTCACCTAGTACACCTGGCCCTTCGGTGACCCAATCCTTGTCTGCGAGCTCACCTTTATTTTTCTCAGTACTGATGGATAGCCTGATGGACCACTGTTTTAGGCAAATTCAAAACTTCTTTTATCTCCAACCAGTCTTCACTGGCTAATTTTTGGGTATTATCCTCAAATATACAAAATACATAAGCAAGACACCCTACTAAGCATTTAAAATAGTTTTTCCACTAATGAAATTCTTGCAGAAAATATTTCTATTAAAAAAAAAATTGTCGAAAAAGCAGGTATTTAAAAAATAGATCAAAATTTCCGTGCCATTTTTTTTTTTAATCAATGAAATTGGTAGTATTTAAACAAAAATTGTTTGTTCAGTTGGTCATCACGCCAAACAATTATTCAATTGAGAAGTGCCACATGCCGAAGGAGTCAACGGTTATCTTTTTATATTGTGTCGGCTTCCTTTCCATCATAGTGTATGCAGCTCTTTCGTATAAAAGGATATGCCGAAGGAATAGGATTTTCAAAATGCATTAAAGTAAGATTTTCAAAAACTTTCCAGGGTATTTTCAAAAATTTGTGCTTTTTATTTTCATAAAGTATCACAGCTGAAACTACATTGTTACTATATTCATTAATTTATGTTACTATAATTCATATTATAAACATCTTTCATTTTCTTTTTATAATTTAAACTTAATATTAGAAAGAAACAACATTAATTCTCCAAGTTGTATAAAATTTATTAAATTGTGAGATTTCTTCTTGCGATCTATAGGGTGATGGCTTATAACTTAGTCATTTCAAGTTATTTTCATTACATTAGAAACCCACCACTGAAGATGGCGAAAGGTCAAAATGCATCTAACAGACAGCAAGGATAGGCAGACCAAAATGATCAGAAACAACCAACCTGTAAAAAAAAAAACATTATTAGCACATTATTAGGTTATTTATTATTTGCACAATAAAAGTATTTTGTTTTATAGGTTTGTAATTTACAGTATTAATTAATCAAAAAATATAAATAAATAAAAAAAGAACAGAAATATCTAGTTCATGAAGTCAAGTTAAAGATAAACATATATCATTATTTTATGTGAGACTGAGAGTGAAAAGACAAAGACCATTTCTAAAATAATAATAACAATAAAATTCATTGAAGCCAATATTAAATTGTGTCCCTTTCATATTTTTATGGAGTGTAGTGAATTTCTAAAGATATTTTAACAAATAGATTGGAATAATAATTGTATTAAATCCCAAAATTAGGTTTAGAGTTGAAAATTTTCCAAATAGTATATGGAAAAAACAAATAATTGGTATTTTTTTGGAAATTCATGTGTTTTAGTGCTTTCTAAAGGAACCCTGGTTTTAGAATTTTAAATTGTTATACGGTTATATATTTTATCGAAAGATTCAGAAAATGAAGTATGCAGTGAAAATTAAAAGTTACTTAATTGCTAGATAATATTTTAGAAAGAAGGAATTAGCAAAGAATTATAGAACAATAAAACATGCAATAGTCAAATGGGGTCCAATGGGAAATATAGAATATTTTTAAACTTCCATTTACAAAGAGTAGAACATTTAAAATTTATGGGGTGTCAGTGGCTGCAACAGTTAGAAAGTTAGTAATGACATGGTGTGGCGACTCATCACTGTAAGGTCCGGGCTTGTAAATCCAGCGGTCCTTCATTCAAACCCGATATACAATTTTTTTCAAAAACACAAGCACCCCCGAGGGTTCATATAACTCATAGTTGAAATATCCTCCTAAAAAGCAAATAAATAAAATACAAAATTTATTCAGATAGAACTTATTTTAGAAACAATCGTCAACAAGTTGTTACTTTTTTATCATACTGCAATTTGTTTGTATACACTTAAAATTTATTTAAATCCAGGGTTCCAAAATGATTATTGTTACCATTCAACGATCCGAATTGTGCCAAGTTTTGTTAACCAAAAATTGTCAAATTTGTAATCCAAAGTACTTCCTTACAACTTCCCAAATTAAATACCAACTTTTTTATAATCTACTAAAATATATATATAACCATTCTGTTTACCTGGTATTTATTTATTGCCGAAGTGCGAAACTGAAAATTTAGTCATACTCTTGATATAGTTTTAATATATCTTTGCCAAGTAAACTTTTTAATTTTAATTTTTTTTTTAAATCAAATTAATACTTTAAAGCAAAAGTTGGTTTTAAGGTAAAAATATATTAGTTACACATATCTCTGGAAAGCGGTAACATAATAAATCTATTTATCTATTGTTGTTTAAGTTGTTAAATGTAATATTTAAAAAATGCTACCTTAATAAATCTACCTTTGAAATGATTTATTAATAATTTTAGTTAAAATGTAAATAGCATGTCTGTTTGTTTAAAGCAAAAAATAAACATAAGCTTCTATGAGCAATAAGAAATCTTATGAACCAAGTTCTGCAAGTTTTTATTTTATGTTTTTTTAACAAAGCTTACATATAAATGTATTGGTGTTTTGATATTAACTTAAAGAGATATTTATAAATAATTTTTAAAGAGTTAATTTTTAAAAAAACTTTTATCAAAGGGGAAAAAGGCACAACCCTTGAATATTGTAATATGATCAACTTCTATCTTTTGTACCATTTAGGTGACATTTGATGTTGCAACATTTTTCCTGCCTTTTTCCGTGTGAGTACCTAATAATAAAAGTATAAAATTAAAAACTATGCATTTGTATTCTATTGTTGTGATAATATGTGATATCATGAAATATAATTTTAAAAATACAATCTTTATCTTGTATATACTAAAAAATACTTCTTTATATACCTTCTATTTTTCATGGCTGTTATACTTTCAACGCTTTTGTGGAAAACCCTATCTTTATAATAAAATGTCTTTGTTACTTGAATAAAAAGGTGTTTTAATGAATTCAAGCTTTATTATTTTTATACTACCTAACAACAACCCACATTTTATTAAGACTTACAACAAATAATAAAATCATTGTTAAAAGTTACATAGGTAGACCATGTAGGAGCCGGCCTCTTTATGATCTGCGCATGCGACCAGTATTGATCTATTGAGCTTTTTTTTCTTTTTTCTTGAGCTTCTGGTTAAGCTTGAGGCTTTTTCTTCTTCTTCTTCTTGGCAATATCTGCACAGGCTAGTCTCTGCCCCTTCGAGTCTATACATATGCCTCTGGAGTCTGCAGTGTTAAATGTTACATGAACATTTTTTTTGCATCGATATAAAAATTGACGTTTAAAATTTAATTATAACATCGCTTTTTATTAATAAAAAGATGGCCGCTACCACAGCATTGTAGTGTTTACATGGCAGAGTTATATGCGATTTGGCATGCACTTGAGGGGATTCGAGTCTCTAGAGGCTCTGCTTATCTTGTTTGAGCAGAGTGCTAATAAGTTAATAAATTTTTTCATAATCATTACTGATCCCCTTCCTCTGCTGACCCTCTCATGCTCTTGGCGAGATTACAAAAGCTGGAGCATCTCGGCAAAACAGTGGTAGTTGTACCCCGGACAAATAGGTCTGAAAGGTAACGAAAAAAGTAGATGAGGCAGCGTAGGCTGGGACATTCCAACCTCCACATAACCACCATGTCTCAGCCCCCTGACGCTAAAAATATAATACAAAACATGATTAAAAGAATGTGGCAGCATTGGTAGGCTGAATTGACAGAGAATCAAGAGCAATCTTGATAGGTGGCCCTCAGAGGACTTGATGCTTAGACAAAGGGTCAAAGTAGGCCATGTGACATTGACACTTACTTTTTGGCTTGGGTGTAAGGTATATAGAGAAAGGGTGCAATTCCTTGACTCCATTTAGAATATAACATTAAACAAAACCTTTATCATGCAATAGCAGTACAGTGGAGGAATTTAATAGAGACAGATTTATCTACACTGATGAGGTGAAAATAACAATAGAATCTACTTAAATCATGATGATATATGACAGCAAATTTATTTGGGGCATATCACTTAATTCACATCCTAGCAATACCCTGTTTTTCTTGATATGTTGGGAGGTAAAGGAATCTACACATTTCACTCGCAAGTTCCTACTGTCAAGAAAATGTTTTTCATAAATACATGAATAAGGAAATTCACTAAAACAGAAAATCATTTAGTGATAGATTAAAATTTAACAAACAATTTATTCTATAACTAAATGATTTTCTAGTTATTTGGTGAATTGTCTTTCAAACCATCGTAATTAAATAATTTATAATAAAAGATGAATTTCTGATATTGTTTTATTTATTTTTCATCTGTGTATTTTTATTTAATAAGAGTACTTTATTTATATTAGTAAAAGTACATATAATTACTACAAATTTTTTATCTTATTTTTAACATTTTGTGCAATAAAATTATAAACCATGTTGGAAAAAAATTTACTACCGCAGTCGGTAGGACTCGAACCTACGCTCCCAGAGGGAATCTGATTTCTAGTCAGACGCCTTAACCACTCGGCCACGACTGCTTCATACCTTCTCCCTCATAGAAGTTCATTATACCTTCGTATACATTAATTTACTTTGAAAATTCTTTTCCTTTAAATACAATAATTTATGGTAAAAACAGTAAAATTATACGATAAAATGTAAAAACAATAACGAATAAATTTAACCTTTTCATTTTTTTTGTTTTAATTTTTAATTACGGCTTTTTTTCTATTGAGATCGTCAAGTAAAAAAAAGATTCTTCTAATAAATTGATTCCAGTGTATATTCTAAAAATAGTTTAGACCTTAAAAAATTCAGGAAATTTGTGTTAAAAAAAAAAAATTTAAGCAATACAAAACAAAAACCACCTTTTATATCACTCTAAATTTAATTCACTAGTTTCGTGGTCCGTTTGACCAATTAAATTCAAAATTGGTTGAAAATACAAAAGGTGTGGTTGAGATGGGAAGTTGGTGTCCGAGTGGATCGAGGTCACGATAGCTCAAGTGGTAGAGCAGCGGCGTATCTAGCCGAAGATCGTGGGTTCGAATCCCACTCGTGCCATTGACTTTTTTATCTCAACTATAAACCTTAATTAATTCTAAATTTAATGTTGAATCAATATTTAATTCACCGATTTTCCTGGTCAGTCTATCCTCGACTGTTGGGTCTTTCCGATGCCATGTCTTTGTCTCATTACTTTGAGTAAGAACTCTATAAAAAAGGTGAATTGTGACATTCTCACCCACCCTTCATAATTATTAATCTAATCATGTTTTTTTATTGTTTTCAAATAAAAACTGAACATTATTATTTATAGAAATGTGTTAACTAATTATCTATAGAAAACTATTGTGAATAGTTTTAAGAAATGTGTTAACTAAGGATTAAAACACAGGAGGATTTCTCAAAATCCTCAAGGGTCAACATTTTACTTATTTTTGTATGGTGTTATTTTCTTCACATCCTATATGTATTTGTAAAATTTAAACAATGTTTATAAATTCCAATTCTTGAAGATGATCTCAATAAAGATCGAAACGTTGGCACGATAAAGAAAATGTTTTTCTAAAGCCTACGTCACACCAGACTGCATCTCAAGATCTTCAAATAATCATTTTATTATTATTATTTTTTATTCATTTATTTAATTTTTACAAACATCGATTTCTTTAAATTTTTATTTGTGGACCAAAATTTGCACCACACTGAATCATCTCCATTTTTTCTAGTAATGTAATAAATATTTTTACGATATCACAATAAATCGAACAACATAAAACTAAAAGACTTGATTCAGTCCCAACATTGCCAAGAAGTGTGTGGTGATTAGTGACCGTTAATCGATAATTATTCAGAAATAGTGAGATGCGGTCTGGTGTGATGTAGGTTTCAGAAAAACATTTTCTTTATCGTGC